ATAGCAAGTTTTTATTAATGCAAGAAGGGTTTATTTCTCTGCTGCATTTGGTAATGGATTGAGAATTTCTAATCATTTGTGGTAGCAATCCCAGGTCTTTTTTTTTTATCAATATTTTGCTGTGTCCCTTCCTTTATGGATCGCAGCTACCCCTGGAGCATGGAATGGCGTGTTTGCCTCTGAAGTGGATTGTTTTCACAGACTACAGCAAGTGTCTTTCTTGGGTCTGGATTGACAGCCAGACAGGTGTTTGAGGATGGAAGAATTCCTAGGAGCTTCATCTCAAGAGTAGAAGCAGCATTACTTAGACCTGGGTTTTTGTTTGTTTGTTTGAACATGAATCGTTTAATCTTGAGCTCATTTCCTAGTTCTGTGAAGTCCCTGTTAGAAGAACAGTTAACTAGAACCTTTTATTTTTACACACACACACACACACACACACACACACACACACTCTCCCTCCCTCCCTCGCTCCCTCCCATGCTAGAAAGGAAGTTTGGCTGGTTCATATCTATAGGGCTGTTCTCAGCTTTTTTTTTTTTAATGCTACATTCTTTCCAGTGATCTATTTTGGACTCTTGACTTTTTTCATTTTAATAATTACTTAGTTTTCTGTGGGTGTGAAACTTTAATATTAACTGTAGAAATAACAATGAAAGTGTGCTATCTAACATGCCAAAGGGGCATGAGAGATTACTGAGCCCTTGATTTTCCACTGAAAGGGGTAATTGACATTTGATTGGATGAGGCCTCTCTCCTGTTTTCATATGAAATACTTTTTCTATCCGAAACAGTCCCCTTTCTGACTTTTGGGCCTGGGTCAATGTGTCCGAGAATGTGGAAGTAGGTGTTCTGTGGTTTCTCTTCAGTGTAACAGCTAGCCATCGCACTCCAGAATGGAGCTGGCGAGAGGGTGGGGGCGGGGGGTACAGGTTAAAAACAGGCACTGCCTCGATTTGGTATTAGAGCGTCCTTAATTGGCTAACAGAATCGCATACTGATAACTGAAGCGGAGTTTGTCCTGTACTTTTTTCCCGTTTGTGGTCTTCCCTTCCACCCACCCTTTTTTTTTGTTCCTTTTTTCCTCTGTTACAGTTTAGAAAACGCTAAACCCTCCTCCCAGGCAGCCTCCGTCACGATCCCTGATCACCTCAGCATCAACCTCTCTCAACCCTCCACCCCTTCTTCTTCTTCCTCCTCCACCACCACCCCCTCACTCGCCACAGCGGGGACCTCCGACGCACCCTCCAGCCTCCCCAACCCTCTTCCGACCGCCCCTTGTGTCTCCAGTCTGCTTGGCATGAAACCCATCCCTCTCCTGGCTCTAAATGTTGTGTCTGCTGCTAAGGGTACCGGGGCTTCAGCTGCCGCCGCCGCCACCTCTGCAGTGCCCTGTGTCACTAACAAACTGAAAGGCGAGAAACAGAGATTCTCACCCTACTGATTGCATATCTTGCGACACCCCCTCAAGTATTTCTTGGTTCATTTTGTTTTCCTTTGTTAATACCGGTGAGAACCAAACAAATGTGAGCTTGTGACCATTTCCGTTTT